CTAACTGTTAAGTATGCTACACTGTACCACTTGATGGAAGCAATGAGTTCTATGTACATGTACTAAACCAGTAACGAACTATCATTGAACCAAGCAGCAGCAACAATGAATATCACAAGTATTATTGAGCAGTGGTTTGGAGAAAATTACTTTGACTTAAAAATTAAACACGGCACGGACTTATTATACAATGCAGTCCGTGTGTTCTACGTAATTATACCAATGATATGTCTCACAGCATTGGCACAATTTATTGGCCAACAGCTAGCTGACCGTGCCGGTGCCTCTAGATTWGTGCGATATGTCGTTGAGTTTGTGGTGATCGTTATACCAACTCTGTTGATTTCGTTGAAGTTTCACGAACACTCCGGACTTGTGGCGATAATTTGCAGTGTCATTTTGGTGATATTACTATTGATCACTTTCGTAACGAAATCGCCAAGACGCCAGTATGTCACGGGCAGTTGCCGACCATTTGCGTATGCACTGAATCGCGCCRTAGTTTATGTAATTGCCATATTGGGTATGGGGGCACCACGTTTCTTAAAGATACCACAATATTTCGAAGCAACCTATAGTTATGGCATAGGTTTTTTGGATATAGACGTTGGTTTGTATCTATTTGCTTTGGCAACCGTTAAGCGTACCAGCGTTGGACGGTCTCCAATGACCGCTGCTCCAAGTTTCTTTTTGCCGATGCTCTTTCTCTCTTTTGTGCGTATGCTAGTCATACTGTTAAATGCAGAAAATGATAAGAATCCAATAAGATTGCATGAGAATTACTATTTTCTATTTGCGGTTGTGGTAATAATTGGCTCGATTATTTGTGAATATGTGACGTCTCAAAAACGCCGCATTCAGTTGGGTTTAGGTAAGTTACAGATCACTAATCCARTGCTGAAAGATCTGATGTAAATCGCTTTTAACTTGTTGATAAGAAATGTATATTACTGAGGTAGTTAATGCAGATTAAACAGCGAAAGACTGGCCCCGGATGGGATGTAGGATCAGCCAATAATTGTTGGAGAAAAAGTATGTAAATAATTGTTGCAGAGCACTGGGACGCTAGCAGTACTCCGGAAYAGAGAAGAAGTGCTCTCGATCCTCGATCACCTCCACTGTTTCGATCACTTATCATACATATGACTACATATTATATTATTATATATTATATTCAAAAAAAATTTATATTAAACATTAAATTGTCATGTCTTTTGCAGCTATCTTGTTCGTTCACGAAGTTATTCTACAAATATTCACCGCTGAATACATACTGGATACAAAAATTAAACGGTTCTATTTTATTGGCGCACTAAAGGAGGTGTATCTGTCAGTTCCTGGATTTCTGGCGCTTTATTTGATATCGGTTGGCATTGGTGACAAAATGCGTACGCGAGTTAAACGTTTGTCCGCCGAGATGTTTAGGAACAAACTTTTAACAATACTTGAAGCCTGCTTGTCCTTCTGGCTATTGACACTGCTCTGCATATTTACAACCTCCATATCACGTATTACCTGCAATACCGGCTATGTRGCATGGATACTAGCCGTCGGTTGCACGATGACCTTAATGCATATGTTGGTTTTCAGCTTTATTTTTAAGGCACTCGAGTACAATGACGCAAATAACAGTGTTAGAGAATTAAATGTAATCCCTGAGTTTGTGACGATTATAAATAAGAACGGTATACTTTGTTATATAGCGGGTTATTTGGTAGCGTGTAGTATAAAGAACTTTTTGGAGCCGCTAAATCGCAATGAGAACGAAGCTTTTTGTATGTTAACGGTTTTTATGTTCATTATGGCACTTTTTTCTTATCTGATAAATAATGTGACCATTATCGATTTGTGAATGGTTTCAAATTTAGACTTTTAGATATTAAATGAATGTTAGTAAAGTTTTCAGAGTAACCAATTTGTCAACTTGCGTCAAAATGTATCCTTTCGTTGTCTTGAGAAAAGATAGTTTTTTTGACTCGTTTCATCCAAAAGATCGTAACATTCGAGAAACTAAAAAAAAAAAATAAAAGCGTTTTCAATACACTTCAAATAAAAATAAAATTGTTTACTAGCTGAAGAGACTAATAAAGATTTTAGTTCAATGAGACTTTACTTTTTATTCCAAAAAGAACTTTGCTGCACTAGTTAGCCAAAAATTTTGTTACTTAATATTTTCAATTTATTTTCTTTGCGGGAAATCTCGATTACAACACTATTTCAAATTAGTGGTGAAGTTAAATTTCTTATCTTCGAAAAAACGCTTTTTTCCGCAATGGATGGCAACACTAATTTTATCTGCATATCTTCCATTTCGAAGTGTTTCATTTTTTCGATGTAAACAAACGAAACAATAACAAATTGTACGCATTTGTGCTTTGTGCTTTGTGCATGTATGTTAAAGAAAATAACAAGAATGATTCAGCGACTAAACGAATTTAACTAATAAAACGACGCAAAATTCACAGACAGCAAAAAACAAACATAAAAGCAATTGTATAGGAAACCTGTTTTCACGTCAAAGGTGATGTTGTTAGTCAGCTCCACTAAATCGGATATGCTCTACGCCCTCAGTAGTTTAGTTTGATTGACAGTAACAGCAAGAAGATCTAAGCTGAACGATGGTGAGAGCCTAGTAGCAGATTGCTTACTTGCAGGCATTTTAAAGTGAAAAATTCAACTATACGCATTGCAATTCTTTTGAGAAAGCATAAAGAACAGCTGTCGGTGAAGTCAGCCACAGGGAATTTGTTCTATGCAACAGCTGGTCAAGGAAACCGGCTTTTTATGCACAGTAACCTTGGCGAATTGACATTCACCTGCATGGATCGTGTACCGTCTTAAATAAACAATGATTTGCTGCAACTACAATATAAAGCAATAGTAATAGCTATCGTGGCATTTTTTTCGAATGTACTAATATTAAAGTTATATAAAAAAGCTGTGAAAAATGTATCTCAACTATCTTATAATACTCAAGCTTCTAAGTCAACTCACGTATTCGTGTGTAAATGCCGACTTTACACGCGGATCTATGCAGCATACACCAATACTTTTGCCAAATTTACCAGTAGAGCATTTAATACGCTACCTAAATACCTTCCCCCAAGTACGTGAACATTGTGTTAAAAATGAAGACTGTCTACGCATAATTCGTAGTAACGCCTCCACAAATAGCTTAAACGACGAATTAATACCTACATTGGACACTTTAACCGCATGTTGGGGTCATGAACTTGACTGTGACGCGAATAAACGTTTTCAGACGCCCACTTGCCCGGGCGAACACCACGGWTGGGTGCAAAGCAAAACTGCACAAGTGAATACATTCTACAATCAAGCCGACTTTGGTTATATACAAAATCAAATCAACGAATTGTCACTTATATGTGAGCCTCATTACATCACCGATTCCTCGCTAGAATGTAGCAAATATCTGCGCTTTTGTCGCGGGCGCAATTTGCTCTTTGACTTTCGCGACCTAGCGCAACGAAAGGAATTAATACGATATCATATGGATGTACTGAAACCACACCAGCTGTTAGGACATTGTCAGTTCAATCGTACACGTTTAGAGGGCGAATTGGATCATATGGGTGCACTACAGTCTTGGGCGCCAGAATTACGAAATTTCGATGAACTACCCGCATCACTWATGGCAAGTGGTGCGTGTGATTTAGTCATTGATACGCCCACATTTATTCTGAAAATCGATGCTACTTATAATATGTATCATCATTTCTGCGATTTTTTCAATTTATACGCATCGCTTTTCGTAAATCAATCACACCCGCTAGCGTTTCATACAGACTCTCGCATTTTGATTTGGGAAACATATTCCTACGATTCGCCATTTGCTGAGACATTTAAGGCCTTTTCAGACAATCCAATATGGACATTAAATGATTTTAAAGGAAAGCGTGTGTGCTTTCGGAATGTGGTGTTGCCTCTGTTACCACGTATGATATTTGGCTTGTTTTATAACACGCCGTTGGTAAGTTGATGTTATTTGCAAAATTTTTCCCTTTTTTGTTTGTACTATAAYTGGCATAAATTCTTTCAGATTCATGGCTGTCAAGGTAGCGGTCTGTTTCGTGCCTTCTCCGAATTCATTTTACATCGCTTACAAATACCTTTCCGTCCACCTAGACCACAAGCTAAATTGCGTATTACATTCTTATCACGTCGCACAAAGTATAGACAAGTTTTAAATGAGGATCAGTTGCTCGAAGAAATCGGTGCGAACAGCAGCTATCATGTGCAACGTATTTCGTTTGAAAGGTTTTTGTTAAACATTATTAATTAAGGCGTTATCTAATTATGCATTTATATTTTCAGGGGTCTCTCCTTCAGTCAGCAATTGGCTATAACGCGGAACACAGATATACTTATAGGCATGCATGGTGCTGGACTAACCCACCTGCTTTTCTTGCCGAATTGGGCTACAATTTTCGAGCTGTATAATTGTGAAGACCCTAATTGTTATAAAGATTTGGCGCGGCTGCGTGGCGTTAATTATATTACATGGGAACGTGAAGGACTGCTCTATCCGCAAGATGAAGGTCATCATCCGCAGGGTGGAGCTCATGCAAAATTCACAAATTATCGTTTTGATACAAAAGAATTCACACGACTTGTGGCAAAAGCCGCCGATCTAGTATATACACATAATGAGTACCAGAAATTTCAGACGCAGCAAAATAACAAGCATCCAACCACTCATAGTGCGGGCGAACAGATTTTACAGTCAAAAGAAGAGCTATAGAGGTCTATTTATGCAGTATTTTCAGAGTTAAGTAATTGTGATCTTGAATACAATTTAAGTGGTAAAGTAATATAAATGTTTTTATATTCTTTTGTAATTTACTTTTTTAACTAAATTTTTTATCTTACGCATTATCATTATAATACATTTTTTTTTTAAATTTATTATAGTAAAGGTAACACTATTTTTGTTTTTACAATTCGGTAGTTGTTTTTTTTACACATTGTGTTTTCATATTTAAATTCTGTAAGCAGTGCAAAAAGCAAGACATAAATATGTGGCAGAAAATGTGATGGAACAGTTAGTTATCACCGTATGATAGGAAGCGGATTGAAAAAATAAGCAGAAATTATGGACTTAGGGGATGATGATGAAATTATAGTTCCAATATGGAATGTAGAAGCCGAAGTTCTTGCGTTTGAGGACTACGATTCACCCGCGCCAAAAATAACTGAATCACATGCCGAATCTTGGGAAATACTATATCACGTGTGGTTTATATTAGAGTCCGTGCTGGCCGTTATATTTTTCTTTGCGATTACGCGCGTCTTTGGTCAGAAAACGTCGCATATAATTCACCCCGATTCCATTAAACGATACCTCTACGAATTCGTATTTATTCTTGCGCCTACAGTGTTATTTGTAATTGTGTTACATCGTTATATTTATGCTGTAATTATCGTGTTCGCTTTTTCTGTAATATACGCATTGTTTATGATATATAAAACCAAGGCACAAAAACGCTGGTACATTACGGGTGGTCGCCGACCATTCATTTTGACATTAAATCGTGCTACAATCTACTTGATAACAGCGCTTTGTATATTAGCCGAGGATTTTCAATGTTTTCCAAAATATTTTCAAATGTCGCATGGCCATAATGTTGGTTTAAAAGATGCGCTAGCGGGATTTTATGTTTTTACAATGGCGACCGTTGAGCGAAATAGGAATAAAATATATGGAATTAGACGCACTTTAACGGCACTGCTGCTTTTGTGGATAGTCGAGTATGTCGGTTCAAAATATATTATATATAGCCATGATGAAAATGTATATGGCGAGCATTGGAATGTATTCGTTACGTTGGCACTGACAAAATGTATTGGCACTTTTTACTGTACTGTGTTTAAGTCACGCAGTAAACAGCTCTATGCCGGAGGGGGTAAGTTTARAAAATTATATGATATTTAAAATAATCTAACAATATATAACATATTATTAAAATATTTACTTTGCAGTGCTTTTGATTCTACATCAGTGTAATCTACAAGTTTTCTCCAATAATGTTGTTTTGGATTCAGATTATGTACGTGACAATCTGTACAGTCAGAACCGTGAAGGCTTGCTATCACTTCCCGGTTTTGTAGCACTTTACTTTATATCCGTTTACATTGGTCGCTGTCTTCGTGTACAAGATATCATTTTATCCTACTATGATGTTATGCACAAAGTAAAAGTAATTGGCATAACTTGTGYGACACTTTGGATATTGGTGTTTAGCTGTGCCTTCACAATATCCMTTTCACATATAACCTGTAATGCTGGATATGTTTTATGGATTTTAGCAATGACACTAACTATGACCTTTGTATCCATGGTTGTTTTTCATTTAGTTATAAATACATTATGGTTTTTAGATGAAAACGACACTTATTATGAGATATATTATGGAACAGTATTGAAGACTTCGGATATACCACGTTATAGAGACCTTTTGCCTATGATTGTAGAGGCAATAAATAAGAATGGACTTTTATTTTTCGTATTAACTATTTTAAGCGCACGYCTCAATGTTATTACTAATCCCATGAAACTGGATGGTAGATTCGCTTTCTTTATGTTATTCAATTCTTTGCTTTTTGCAACTGGTATAGTTTCCTTATTACATCATTTCAAATTACGTCTATYTATATAATTGTTACTTTTTGTATAAGTTGGAAGTATGTAAAATGTTAGCACTACATCGGATATTAAATCAAAATATTTCATTTCCTCGTACGAAAAGATAAATATTTTGATGTTAGTATACTAAGYAATTGTAAAATGTTTGCATATTTTATTAATTTGGTTTATCCTAAAGTTAAACTGAATAAGCTAAAATATTTGCTATAAAGACAAAATCGTTAAAATTAAATTAGTYTTAGGATTAATTAATATTTTTAACATAATTTTGTTAGTAACTTACATTTTTTGCACAGTTAAGTGGTTTTGTAGCATTTTGCATACTTTTAGAATGACATATTTGCACTATTTTATACACAATAACTGGAACATTTTYAAAATGCTTAACTTTGTTCAAAATTTTAATAAAACTAAATTACACTTTTAATTTGATGTATGAGTTCTCACACGTATGAATGTTGCACCGAATTTATAATACCCTTCACAAAAACAAAAGAATCCATTTCAAACTTGATTTTGAAGGTATGTACATATGCATGTACATATACCGTTAAATAAAAATTTTTTCATCGAGGGTACGATTTCTATAGGTTAGTTTGTATGGCAGCTGGTGGTCCGATCTGAATAATTTCTTCGGAGATTGTATTGTAAGTAAAGATCAAGGCAAAATAAAAACGCGATTTAAAAGTAAAAATAAAAATTGGCATAAATTTGATTGCAAACGAAATTCTGTCAATTTAAATTTTTGATATTCCCGAGCGTCACAGAAGAGTCCTACATGTCTGGCAATACCTGAGCAGTGTTGTTAAATGATGSTCCCTCAGTGCCCAATTATTCAAACAAAAGTGAGGTCGGGGTATATGGCTATTTTTAGTTAATTGTCATAACCCAATATTAACATATTAATTATTTTTCCAATCATTTCTCACCATTTAATACAACTAGCAAGCAAATTGAAGAAATATGTATCAATATAACATTTTTACAAATGCAAAGACAATTTTACCACGATACTGTGAAAATCACCACAGACTGTGTTGTTTTATCAGCGAATTATTTTGTTGCACACTGCTCATCAGCTGTATTTATTTACATTTAGGAAATGGGATTCGTTTGAGCTGTTGGACTGGTTAACTCGTTGCTGCAAATTCATTGTTTAATATTATCAACTTTAATAAAACATGTAAATACGAATTGTTTTTATATGGTTCTACAATAACAACAAAATTGTTCGTGTGAAAAGCTATCGAAGTAAACTAACAGTTTATTATCACTAAACAAAATGGCACGAATTGAAAGAGCAGGCAGTGAGTTCTGCGCTATTGGCGCACCAGAACCACAGTGCCTTTGTTCGAAGAAACAACAATTTTTAAATATGATACAAAACGCCGTGAATATGGATTCAATATTAATTAAACAACTCACTGGAAAATATGAAATACCATATTGGGAAACAGTTTACCATGTATTGTTCATTCTATGTACGATTATTCCGGTTGTATTTTTCTTTGCGATTGCGCGCATTGCCTGCCAAMAGTTGGAAAAGAAAACGTCTGTCGGTTTTTTCGGGAAGTTTATTATCGAATTCGTAATAATTGTTATACCCACAGTGTTATTTGTAAATGTGCTAAATAGTTATGTTGGTTATGTGCTCATAGTTTTCGGTCTTTATGTTTTGGTGACATTATATTGCAATTATAAAACAAAAACACTTAAAAATCAGTGTTACAATTTGGGCGGTAGCCGATCATACATTTTGACTTTAGTTCGTGCAATTATAAATTTGCTTACAGCGCTTTGTATACTGGCAGTTGATTTTACTTGCTTTCCGAAAGATTTTCGAAAAACACGACGTTATGGTGCTGGACTTATGGACGTTGGCATTGGATTATTTGTTTTCGCTATGGGTGCCGTATCGCGACCACCAAAGAAACCTGCAGACTTTAAACGTGTTATGTACATTGTGTTGCCGTTACTCTTYTTAGGTCTATCGCGTACTCTCATTATATTACATATAAATTATAATCAAGATGTACATGAATATGGACAACACTTGAACGCTTTCTTTACATTGGGGCTCACTAAGTTGTTGGGTTCCTCACTTAGTGGTCTTGTAAAGAGCGGTTCGGCACATGTCGCCACCGGTGCGGGTAAGCATTACATTAGCGCAAATTTTGTTATATAAACTAAAAAAACTAATATTTGTATATTATAGCAATCGCAGTCATACACGAATTTAGTCTGCAGTTTTTCATATCACAATTTGTTATGGACGCTCATATCCCACGAGATGCCTTTGTACCAGCGAATCGCGAGGGAATTTTCTCACTGCCCGGTTTCGTTGTTATATATTTGATATCAATTGTGATTGGCMAAGCACTACGTGTTAGCGACGGTCTTGTGAGCTATAAAGTACTGCTAAATAAATTACTAGCGTTTGGCTTAGCGAGCATTGGACTTTGGCTGTGTGTAATTAGCTGTATATTTACAATTTCAATTGCGCGTGTCACCTGCAATTTGGGCTATATACTGTGGATTTTAGCCATAGCGCTAACTATGATTTTTATTTCCATGTTAGTATTTCATTTGGTTTTAAATATCAGTTGGTCAACTAGGGACAGTAAGACAACAGACGAGACTTATACAAAAACCGCGCCATTACTAGGATCTGCATCAACTTCGGATGCAAATGTACTACCCACGCTAGTGGAAGCAGTAAATAAAAACGGTCTAACATTTTTCCTATTAGCTAATGTGCTTACGGGTTTTGTAAATATGTTTTTAGAGCCAAGTGAACGATATGATAACGAGAGTATTTTTATATTAACCATTTATTTGCTGATATCGATCGGATTCGTTCAAATACTATATCGTTGGAATATTCGATTAGCCTAACAATTAACATATCGTGCACAAACAAGAAGCACTCTTTAAGTATATAAAATAAAATTGTGTTATATTAACATGTAAATAAATATGTGTGTGGATTTTATCAACGTTATACCTGTGAACAAAAAATTTGACTGTATTTATATATATGTATGTATATTGTAAAAATAATTGTATATATTGTATTTAAAAACAGAAAATAACAATATTGAAAAGCTAATATTYTAAATTAATAAAGTTGTAAAACGTTAAGCTTTCACATATTAAACTGAATTGTGCTCAATTAATCCAAAGCGGCGTAATAATTTTTATTTTTGCTGTTTAGAAATACAGGAATACATATTCATTTAGCTCCAGTTTTGATTAGCTAGGAATGTGAGATATATTCACAAGCGCTGTATATAATAGCTGGATTACTTCAGTACTGAGAAGTTTAAATAATCATTGATTTCAAATTAAAAGAGAAACGGTTGGAGCTTTTTGGGGCCGATAATAATTGTTTTCTCTGTCCTCATGAAGTTATTTTGTTTAATATGGCATTACGGTATTTATAGATTACAATCTCATTGCCAACCTGTCAGTAATGCGCCTATATAAATTTCATGAGCTACACTAGCCTACTACGGTCATATAGTTTGTTTTTGAAAGTTAAAGTAATGCATTGAAATTTATGACATCGACTACACAAAATCCACACAATACTCTCAGTGTACTTCAACACACCGATTATATCGATACCAGCCAATAGATTCAGTGTTAGGGTGATAAGAGCAAATTAGCACGTTATTTACCTTATCACCGTCAATGAAACCTAATTGACTTGTAGCCTTAGGAAGTTTACCTAAATATAGGGATATTTAAAACAAAAATAAAAGTTAACTTCGGCTGCACTGCAGCTATAATACCCATCACAAGCGTATTTTTTCACAGCATTAATACTGATTTTGATCGGTTAGCTTCTATGGCAGCGATATGCATTAGTGATCCGATTTTTTTACAAGATTGTAGTGCTTAGACAATATATCTCTGCCAAATTTCCTGAAGATATCTTGTTAAATAAAGAAGTTTTCCATACAAGGACTTAATTTTTATCGGTCAGTCTGCATGACAGCTATATGCTATAGTTATCCGATCTGAATGATTTCTAAGATTATTGTAGCGCTGACTTGGACATTAATCTCTGTCAAATTTAGTGAAGATATCTTGTCAAATAAAAAAGTTTTCCATACTAGGACTTAATTTTCATCGGTCGTCTGCATGACAGCTATATGCTTTAGTTATCCGATCTAAAAGATTGCTAAGAAGATTGTAGCGCTGACTTGGACATTAATCTCTGCGAAATTTCCTGAAGAAGTATTGTCAAATAAAAAAGTTTTCCTTACAAGGACTTAATTTTTATCGGTCAGTTTGTATGAGAGCTATACGCTATAGGGGTCCGAACTGAACGATTTGTTAGGAGATTGTAGCCCTGGCTTGAACAATAATATATACCAAAATTCGTGAAGATAGTTTCTCAAATAAGGAAGTTTTCCTTACAGAGACTTTATTTTGGTGGGTCAATTTGTACGGCAGCTATATGCTATAGTGGTCCGATATCCGAAATTCCCACAAATAATCAACTGCTTGAAGAAAAAAAGGATGTGTACACATTTTCAGATTAATTTCTCAAAAACTGAGGGAGTAGTTTGAGTATATACAGATCGACATGGGTAAATCGACTCAGCTACTTTATAGGTTCTTCAGCGTTTCTTTTTGCGTATTACAAACGCTAAGTTAACTATTTTTGTATAATCTCAAACTCAGAAACTCATCTAATCTCATCGCTGATATTCACCAAATACATTTGTGTAAATAATTGAACTTTCATCATTTATTACTACCGAAACTTATTCGAGACACGAGTACTCGCAAAGGCAACACACAAAACAGGACATAATTTAAGATACCGAACAAGAAGCTTATAGGAAGGAACATACATATAGTCAGAATTTATTTTTAACAGCAAACAGTGTTCAATTGGAGCGTTCACTCCATGCTTTTTTGATCTTCCAACGCTGATCACCCAGCACCACTTGCAGCGCATCCATATAATCACATTCGCGAAATGGAATCTCATGCACCACACGTCCGAAACTGTCCGATATATAGAGCGTATGTTCATCATCCACTTTGGAATTGTAAGAGACGTCTTGAGGGTTTGCTTCTTCAAATACTTTGGAATCTCTTAGCGGTATGGCTTGTTGTCTCGTAAGACTGCCCTCACAGCGGTAACGAGTTTGATTTGGCTTTTGCTGTGTTTTCAGTTGTTCTTGCTGATGCCGTTGTTTTTGTGCTTTGTGATAATTTTGTTGCAACTCCATTTGCAATTGTTTCGTGCGTTGGCCCTGATGTTGCTTTTGTGTTCTGAGGCGTTGTTCGTGCTGCTCATCGGGGTCTTCGTCGACAGCCGTGGTCGAGGAGTTCGAACGGAAGTTGGAACGGATGGGSATGCATGAGCGCAGCTGCGCCGGTTCCGAGTCTAAAAATTGTTCGAAAAAGCGGCTGTGTGTTGTGAAATTGCCCGTCGCTGAAAAGGCGGACGATGTGGACTTTTCCGGACGACTACGCATAAATTCGATGTGCTCTTTGATGTTGGCGACCTCAAGTAATTTAATTCTCCTCTCGGTACGATATATTTTTGACATGCGATACAACAACAATACTACATAAAAATTTAACACAAAGATGATGGTCCAGAAGATTTGCGTTAAATTTTGAAGATTCAATTCTATTAACATTATATTTTATCTAATTTTTTTTTTTTTAACAAATTACTTTATATTTGGCATTTATTACTAATGTGAAAAGCAAGGTCTACGTTGCCAAGCGAAGAAATCTCGGTTTAATATTGATGATCAAAAAGTTTGTATATTGAAAACATTTCTGTATATTTGATTTGTCTTTGCTTGTTTCAATATTTGGTTGTATGGTGTTGCCAGCTAAAGAAGCTTTTTCGAAAATATATTTATTCACTAGAATTATTTTAATTACGAATCTTATAAAAGCTTTTACTTTTACAGAATGAGCTTTCGCCAAAAGCCTGAATAAGTTTTACAAGCAAGCTTTTTACCGAAAGCTTTTTGGAGCATTTGACCCTAACCACAGCGTTAACTTTTCCTACAATGGCACTCACGGTTAAACGATGCCATATACCAATGAAGGACTATCAAATATGCCAAAAAGTTCGTCGTTCAAAGCTTTTAGCATAACGATATAGAATTCTTGAAGTGAAAAGCTTTTACGAACAGTACAGAGCAAAATAAAAACTATTTGGAATATTTGGAACATATAGTGATTCGGATCTAAATACGGTTCTTTTCCGCTTTATAGATTGACTACCTTACAGATGGGGTGACCTCTTGGGATGAAGAAAATTAGATTCAACATCTCCAAGCGACTTCTTCAGTGGCATGAAATTATCCTTTTTACAGATGAAACAATTTTCATAGTCGAGAAAGCTTTTAATAAACAAAACGAAAAAATCCTCGCAATAACTTCCGAAAACGCAAAAAATGTGATTCCAAGAGTTCAACGTGGACACCATCCAGCTGCTGTAATGGATTGATGTGGAGTCTCCTGGAAGGGAACCTTCTTTACCATTACGAAATTGGGGTTACAGMTAGGTTAAAAGTTTAATAGATGATGATTTAGAAGGCGTGGTAAAACTTATAAGCAATACACTCTTCGATGAAAAGCATTGTACTATGCAGCAAGACTCTGCTTGAGCACACAAGGTAAAAACAATCCAGAATTGGCTTAAAACTGATATTCATGAGTTCAAAGCTGATGAACTTTAGCCGTGTGGAAGTAGATATTTGAATATATTAGACTACAATTTGGTCGTCATCAAAAGGAGGGTCTCTCATTTGAGGTTTATTAGTTTTCATTGGGGCGTTTTTTCCCAAACCCAGGTTTTTCGGCTACTCTGAGGATACTTGCTCTAACACCGAAAGCCTCCTGAGCTGCTTTTTACTCACTTGCATGAACTTCTACACATGACTCTATCTATCGGCTATAATAGCGTAAGCGGTTTCTACGAAGAAGAGGAAGTGGAGATCACGGCCTGTCGAAGACTGTACAGATATTTGAGGACTCTCAATCTCTGTTTCGAGAGTATCAACTATAGTTATAGAGTCTAATAAGAAAGAAATAACTCTCAAAGCCTTTCGGCCATCGTAGCAGAGCAGAGAGTCAACGAACGAGTTTAATCAATGAAACGATTAACATCGTTTACTTTAGTAGATACAAGTCTCAAATTCGATAGTAAAATCATTCAGTACCTATTGAACACACGAGACTTTAAGTTAAGTGAGCCTCACTACTTTRCAGCCACAAATATTTTCCCTGCTAAGCAAAATCGGGTTTCTACTAAAAGAGAAAATCATCCGTGTTCTTTTCGACCAGTTTTGATGTTTTCTCTAAACTCGTTTGCTTTCAAATGTCATATTCCTTTTGGGATACAAAGTTTCGTCAAAATTATTTTCACAACATATATTAAAATATGTTAAGATCTTCCAAAATTTTTAACTGCATTTAAGAAGGGAACCGCAATCATCACTACTCAGCTGAGACCATCTGAACGGATAGAAATATTTTAACAGTCAAAATTTTTTAAGTATTCGTCGTAGAAACACAATTTTATTTAAGCTCCATATGGCTCAAGCGAACCTTGAGAATCTTTGCACAGCTTTATGTGCGACAGAAGACCCGGTGCCTGCTTATCCACTGATAGCGCGCACATTAAAAAAGAATTCACCGCCAGCCTGCGACGCCTTCGGACCATTTCCAGATGAGACCATTGTGTCGGGTATCGATCGTGCGCTCTATCTTATGGGCGCACGGCGCGTACAGGAGTTTCTGCACCTACCCACACCATCGCTGGACTCGAGTAATAGCGACATTTCGCTTACCGTATCGCAAGTGTCTTGCCCGAATTCACATAAACCGTGTCGTAAATGTAGCACGGTCATAACATCGGGTAGGTTTTTCGATTTAAGTAAATTTTGATACTGAATTTACTTCTTTTTTCGCTCACAGATACCAAGGACAAAAATAAATTACCAAGCTGCTTGAAAGTGACCAAAACATGCACTTGTCCCAAATGTCGGGCCAGCACAGCACAAACGATGACCTTCTCTAAAAAGCCCTGCTGTTGTTGTGGTAGTTCGTCAGCACGCTCGTCTAAAAGTAGCTTAGCATCGCATGTACAAATCTGTGAACCACCCAAGTCAGTGAATCCGCTGAAACGTTCATTTTCGATGTGCTCACTGGCCTGCCGAAAGTTAAAGCAAATGTTGACCTTTCCATCAAGCGATGGCCAGAATTCAAAATGGTTGTGGGCACGAATACATTCCACAGAGAACGGCTGTCAAGTCTATGAGATATTCAAAAACTCCAATGTGTGCACACATCCGTCGGAGTTTGAGAAGCAACGGATGCCACAAGTCATCTTCGTCGTATTGCAAAATGGCGCTATAATGCCCTTCGAAATCTTGCCCTCACACTAAGGAAGAAAGCGAGGAGAAGAGAGAAAGAAAGAGTGCGAGRGAAACGGTGGATTTTTATATCTCCACTATATATGTATACATGAGTATTTCGGTATTTATAACTGCTTTTTATTATGTTAAAAACTAAAAATATATACAAATAATGTACTTGTACTTTTAAGAAAGTTAAACGTGTATTTGGTGGCTTTTGATACCTTAAGTATGAGATCATATGAGTATATCTGCCTAGATTTGGCACGATTGACAACAGACCAACGAATGTAAGGTAATTTTACATTTACTCAGGGCTTACGTCTCATGAAACTTCAACTCAATTTCATGTTAAAATTTGGCCTTGCTCGAGTTCATGATCCTTGATCGTTTACTCTATTGATCTTCAAGCCTTGCAACCATCTGATATCTGAGTAATACGTTAATAGAAAGCGGCATTTCAAGCTCCTTACGTACAGCTGCAAACGAGTCCATTGGTTTTCGGAAAGGTGTAATGTCGCACTGTAAGGTTCTATCGAGCGTATTATGGGAAAGATTAAAGTCTACCGTCAACAAACTGATTGGACCTTATCAGTGTGGTTTTAGGCCTAAAAAATCAACAACTGAGCAGATATTCACCATGCGGTAAATATTGGAAAAGAGACACACCACGTCTTCGTCGATTTCAAAGCTGCTTTTGACAGCACGAAAAGGAGCTAACTGGAGACAAGTCGACTTCTTCTGGAGAMTCTYYTCTWTTCGCTCATACCARTTTTGYTCCCGAATTCAGGTGATGCTATTCTAAAATTTTGAGATTTCGGATTACATAACCTAAAAATAAATTAAGATTCTAAATAAAGGTTTAAGCAAAGATAAGTTGCCCACAGCTTCGTAATAGTTTCCACTAACCCTTAACTTACTATCCTACTACTTATATCCGACAGTAACCCAAAATAATCACTTGTGCGCAACGTTTCCCTTCAAGCATTCAGTCGAAAAAAAAATTCCTAACTATAGAAGACATGGGAAAGGTTTTCAATGATCAAATTATAAAAATTTTATGTGCAAAAAATTTTAATAAAGTACAAAATGAAGTTGGCGAACCGAATTTGAAAGAGCAGTCTTCGTGTGTRCGACGTGGCGAGAGTTACGTCGTCTTTTTGGATCGTGATCATCGCAAACAATTGCAACAACAAATGGGTGGTAAGGATTTCAAATTGGCTGCAACGGAGCAATCACTCTGCAAGCTCGGCCAAACACCGGCCAGCATGGATATGAGTGCGGCGGCTGTSAATGGTGGCGATGATAATTGGTTGAAACGAACGCTCAGCCTGAAGYGTGCCGGTAGCAATACGGGCAGTCTGAAAACGCAAATTTGTGAGAGCATAAGCGCSTTGCTGCCGAAACGTGTGGTGGATATGTTGACGCCACGTATGCGTAGCAATGAAAATGAGCGCGTAACGCCTTCGGTGTTCGGGCCGTTTCTCGATGAGCCGGTGTGCGGATTTATCGATCGTTTGTTCTATTGTATTTGTATGATGTTCGGCATGGAAATGGAGTCGCAGGAGCCGTGTGTSGRTGTGCTGGCGAGAGGTGGATAGTTGTGCATTAAAGAGTTCGTGGCGTTCACACTGTAAATTATTGATTGGATGAAAATTGTGTGAATTTTTTTCGAAATAAAATTTCATATAGAAAATCGTTAAACTATATGATTATTTTGCAGAGAAAAAGTTATAGTAGATATAATAAGACTCAGATGAACACTGCTTTAAGTCCATTTYTCTCTATACTTTCTTCCATAATATTTTTTCTTAAATCACGATTCACACAATTTTATGCCCTCTCCCGCCTACCCGCTTTCACCTGTCTGGGAGACTTCGTTGCAGATAAGATTTCTATTAAGGAAATGACAAAAATTACTGCTATTGTCCTGTCGGATTTGCGCTCTAAGGCAGCACAAACAGCAAAGGTTAAGGTTAAACCAAAAAGAAGCGCAAACAGGATATTCAATTTCCCAGCGAGGCAGCGTGTGGCGGCTTAGGGCGCTCAGTGGCGTGGGGAGACGGCGCATAGTCTATTGAAAGAAGTGTGTATGCGGGGAAAAAAAGAAGCGGATTAGGCGTAAATGACCATTGAAGACGTTTAATTCACACTTTTGTCGCATTTTCTCTTCATTTATTTTATTTGATTTTTTCCTCGCTTCTTCTATCTCAAATGTAATCACAGCGTACGCCGAGACAGCGAACAATTCAAACAATGGTCGCTTTGCTTTAACTAAACTGAACTGCCTTAAATTCCTTGATTGACTTGCTTAGATGGGAGGGGCGGTAGGTAAGTGGCTCTCGTTTGATGGATTTTTTTTATGACGTTCTAAATTTGCATCCCGAGTGTATGAAAAAGGAATTCCAGAGATGACTCCGCCTTTGTTTTATGTCCTCCAAATGGCTGATGAAATCTGCATTAAAAATCTTCAATTATTTGTYTTCAAATGGTTTTGGATTTTCATGAATTCGGTTTTATGTGTTACTTCCTTTATTCTCACGAAGTTCGTGCCATCATTATAAATGAATTGCGTACGGAMAATAATTTTTTATCTGATTTCGCATAAAATGCAATTTCCGTAAATAGTAACCGAAGTCAACATCCATGCATGCAATATGAAAGAATTGTTCGCTGGGAATTATTCRCTTTGTCGAAAGGGTGGTTCAAAAAATTCCGAATTTAAAAAATCTGAGGTAGCTTGGATACGTTTTTTTTTGGTTTTTGAGCGTCCCCAAAWAAATTACTGTGAGATAATCCTTCTCAACACCACATACATAAAAAGGTTTTATTGAGCGTATTGTGTGAAAGATAAAACAAACTGATTGGACCTTACCAGTATGGCTTCAGGCCTGGAAAATCAACAATCATTCAATCAATACTCATCAATCGCCAAATCTTGAAAAAGACGCAAGAAAAGAGGATCTATACAAACCACCTCTGATTACCGCAAAACTAATACGGCCGTGTAGGACCTCTTCGAGCCATTTGATACCAAAGGAGGTTTCAGACAAGGATGGAGAAAATAATTCGATCTGCACAGATGAATCTTATAARAGTGTACAGCAGCACCGTTAGTTTTGCTTTCTCCAGAATGAATGATGAAGCGAAGCAAATAAGTCTGGAATTAGACGAGGTACAAAAACAAAATATCTCCTATSATGAAGCAAACAGTCGTTGCATTCGCRACTTGACTCCCACGTCACAGTTGATAGTCATAAYTTTCGTTTATTTGACRCAGTACTCGCCGARAGAGGCARAGGAAGAGAAAAACCTYAACTCCTATGGAAAAACCAGGTGGAGAAGGACCTGKGCACACTTGGAATCTGCAAATGATGCCAAACAGCGAAAAGGAAGAACGACGCCAATAAAGAAGAAGTATAGTAGTTTTTTTTGGGCGACTCTTCTTGCAATAACCTCGATAAGAAGTCGATAGTTAGAGTTCAACCTTTCGAATTGTGTACACATATGTAAAAGTATAAGCCACTAGCAGAATGTCGTCTGTATCTCGAAACAYACTTAGTGAAGGTTCTAATGGARGAATTCATGCTGTAATCAGCCATTTTTTGGGATTCAATGAAGTGGATCAGCTTTTAACGCGTGTGTTGTTATAAACTGGTGGGAGGTCGGGGTTGTATGATCCAAAGTGACAGAAATCAGGGTTTGTATTTTTTCGAAAAGATGAATGACAGTACAAGGCGACGGACTACGTCCGAAATCCCAAGACAGCCGSTTCTACGTTACTGGAATTGATTCAGATTTTATCCGACCAAGGGCAGCTATTTCGGCGATCTAACCTTGTTTGGATCGGTGAGTTTTATGTTAACGATCTCCGGCCGATTTCGTATTATTCTGATATAACAGCTATCCGCAGCATTTCTCAAAACAGTTTGAGAAATGTTTTTGCTTCCACAGCAACTACATCTTATACAAACCAGATATTGGAGATTTTACGAAGCTAAGAACTKCGGGTACTTTAGGAGATAGTGTCAATAAGAAGGTCGAGGCTTTTGTCTCATAAAGTAATAAGTTTTTCAAACGGCTACCGGCAAAACAGAGTCTCAAGAACGAGGATTGTAGTTTTCAGCAAAAATGGTATCTATTACGAGGTACGAAATGAAAACAAGTGTGATGTGGTAACTCTCGCTCCTCGTGGAGCCTTTCCCCTTAAGAGTTGCGTCTTACTACTGCAATTACTTAACAATCTGAACATTTTTGATAAATACACACAGAGGTCTAAGATTGGAAACCACTTTTCCAATCGCATTTCAGTCTTTACAGATTTTTCTATTTGTTTTAAAGTAAATTGCCCAAATTCGACGTACCTTTCGGACCACCCGTCACAGGCATCAAKGAAATAAACTCGCACAAAAGAAAGAGGGACGGCGGAAGCAACCCTTTTGTGTGAAACACCACCTCAAATGTTGTCGCACTTCAGTACACACACCATATTACGCTCACTGCTCGGTGACTTCATGGTGCAGGACCACAATATCTCCTCACACTCGACAACAAAGTGACGATTTATATTGAGTTAATAGAAAAAGTCACAGATACGTAATCATATTCATTAACTTATTGTCGTGTGTTGGGCGAGCGAATTTATGCCTAACAACTTCTCCTTCATGTTGTTGTTGCCATTGCTAACTTTTGGAAACTAAGCAGCAATTTTGTTTAACGGTCTTTACCATCTTCTACGCTTTTGGGGAATGAGTTAGGGAACTTTGTGTTATTGTTGTTGTTTGCGCGTGCTGCTTTTCGTGTGTTTGGTTACGCCCACCTGTTCCCTGCCTTTAGACGACTCAATAAATGAGCTGAAAGCGTAGGCCAGCACCGCCTGTGTGGTAGTCAAGACGTGAGTCGGGGATGGAGTTAGCGAAATAAGGTACTTTTGTTGGACTTTTCACTTTGATGACAGATTATTTTCATTACCACAGCGGTGAGCACACATACACACATAGCGGAGATATTTGTGTATAAATACCTATCAGTAAATCAGCCGTGTGTCTAGCCCCGTCTGCGTGCGTTTGGCCGTTTCTCAGCTGATGGTTGTCGTTGATAAGCGGAAATGCTTTTTGTCAGTTGTCRACGCAGCAGCGAAATGCAACCCTGTATTCCCGTTTTTTGTGTTAACATATTACCGTTAATTATTATTTTGATGTTTTTARCCATTATGTATTACATGACAATGAACGTAATAGCCGCGGACGGACAATTGGGCAA